CTTGTAGTTGTTAGTTATGTGGCTTTATATCTCATTTTAGTTGGCGCGTTCTTTATTTTTCTTACTTTTAGTTTAGATTTTTATGGCGGGGCGCTACACGTGCGTGCAATCAATTTATCGGTATATCGGCGGATTTTATGTTCGAATTGTGAGAGTAGGCGAACGTGAGGTTTGAATGGCGGGTAGACATAATCTTTTCAATGTAATATCCATTTTTATGTTGGAATGTTACTAGCACGTTTGTTGCGCAATAATTGACGATATCATCAATTCTTGGTAAATTGACAAGTTCACGTGAAATATCATAATCAGGTATTTCGAATCAAATCTGTCTCATTTGTTTATTAATACCGACGATTAGTGACATTAACCAATTTTTACTGTTTTAATATTAACTTGATCGTGCAAAAGGGACCGGAAAGTATAAATAACTAAGATCTAGGAATAGCTGAAACAAAAAGGAACGGAGAATGCTGCACCCTATTGTAATATTCCAGAATCAACGCTCCGAGCTCTCGAGTTCTGTGACGATAACCATAAAGATGGAAATTTATTTGTAAGAGTAGTAGAACTCTCCAGTTTCTGCTTAAGTTCACTAGTGTGCGCGACAAAGATGATAGAATTTATGACCTGTTCAACTGTATTAAAGTAGTAGAATCCTTCTTGGTCCTAAGATAGTAGAATAAGCCCTTTCTATGACACCATAGATGTTATAGTTCAAGCCCTATTTAACATTCTAGTAGAATCCAGTTTAGTAGAATTCGTTTGTCTTACTTGTCTTCTAAATAAAAAATTCAATGTTTTACTTCTCTCTGCTACTATTTATTCAACCCCTGCAAATCAAATTGGCACTTTATCCAAGATACATTGGAAACTCAATCGGAACCATTTTCGGTTACCAGAGAGTTGAATCGTAAACTACCCTGTCTGTGTGGAACATAGTCATTTTTATCGAATGATAATATGAATATTTGGAAGCTACTCTTGTTACGATTTCCACTACATTCGAGCTATCATTTTTACATCTTTGCATAAAGGGAATATCTTATTCAATTTATTTTTTCAATACCTTTATTCAATTTACTTTTTCTTTTGAAAATTCTTACATGTACATTAAATTATAGGAAAACATATCGTTTACGAATATGATTCATATAACGTTCCATTGTTCTTCTCCTCGTTATTTCTATCCATTTCTTTATCCTAAATCCCTATTTCTCTTTTTTCTATATTTTACCTATATTTTATTTCCTTTTTATTCTACTCATTCCGATATCTTCTTCCCCTTTGTATTCCCTCCTTTTCTTTTTTAACCGAGTAATCAATTCATTCTTCGTTTCCTCCCTTTTTACACAAGTCTCCCCGTGATCCGCTTTTTTCATTTTTTCCCCTGTCACTTCGCTTCCCTATACCTTTTTCTGCACTCTTAACCCACTTATATCCTTCACGTTCTCTCCTCCTCTTTGCTACTAAATATTCCGTTCTTACACCCTGTTCTCTTCTTTTTATCATCAACCTCTCAAAATATTCCCTTACAAACTTTCCCCTCGTTCTTTTTTACGTCGTTCTCGTTCCTATTCCGTCACTCTTATTCGTAAAACCATCGTCAGGATGTATTGGCTTGGCAACTAAGTGATTGCGGATTTTGTCATTAGATGGTATTGACAATATCAGCATTCACTTAGTTGCCAACCCAACATTACGCTTTAATAGACATGGAATTATTCAAGTTCAATAAGAATTGGATTTTGCCATTGTTGCAGTACTATTACCTTTGAAAGGCTGTTGCAATGCGTTATAGCTAGAGCAGACGTCTATATAGATTCAAACTTTTGCGAATAAAACTGAAGAGAGACCGAGCAGAGAATTCTTTCGTCTATTTAATATCATAACAAGTACTTTACTTTGGATATTTGACAATAATAATGATTTATTTGATTTCGAAGCCAAGAAATGCGACTTGGTTTCAATTTTTCCAATCTTCTTCATCCTAAGAGTCTACGCCAGAAGTTTTTCGTATTCTTAAACTATTATTTCCCACAGTTTACCGCTAACCGTCTGCTTATGACACCTTTTTAATCTTTAGTATTTCTTCCACCATTTTTAACATTTTTTCTCTGCCTGTTCTTTCTATTTTGTTGCGATCTGATGCAATCTTTTATCCTTTAGAATCTTTTCCACGCTTTGTACTCCTGCGGGATCTTCCATCACACGTTTCACGTTTCTCTCACAGATCTTACACGTTCTCCCCTTTTTCGAACTACAATATCTGCCTGTTCTATGTTTCCACGCCTCACTATAGCTTTCTAATGCGTTTCATGCTTCCTGGATATTTTTCATATTTTGCATTTTACATATTTTAGCATTTTATGTGATTTCTGTGTATGTTTGCATCTTGAAATTGTCATGTATTTGGTTGTCCGGAAAGTGACTTTCTTTCGCAAACGTGTTTTTTACAACAATGCATACAAACGTGAAACCAAGTCAGTGAAATGTCTTGGTATTTATCTCAACAGAACAAAATGGATCGTACGTAATTTGACAAAATAATATAAAACAAAAAACGTTGTGCGTCTTTATTTATTTTCTCATAAAACGAAAGAAACTTTTCGGACAACCTAATATATCATAGCGCGCCCACCATTGGCGTTTTTCATCATACAAACATTATTCCGTTTCTTCAACAACGTTCATAAAATTTGCATAAAATATTATACAGTCTAATTACGAATAATCGTAAAGAATATAAACCTGAAGAGCAAGCTCAAGGACTGATACTACGCGATTTCCTTTCGTATCGTAACATCATAGAACGCCTATGTGTATTTCATGGAGAAAACTGGAAGGATCTGTTTTCCTCTGGCGTTCTCCGGAGAATCCAGCGAAGCATATTGCGGATAGAGAGTATCGATCTGTCGATGGAGGCTCGTTGCGTCCTTCTTGTTCGCGTGTGCGAGCACGGTCACGCAGAAGCTCACGTTGTTGCGGCAAGATCCTCTTAAAAACGGACGGTAAACTGCTTCTCGATTTTTCAATCCAGCCACCGGTTGAAATTCTTTTCATCTTGCTCGATCGTGAGGACGTCCTTTCACGTGGACGACGACAAGTCGTCTAGCTCCGGCAAGCGTTATTTATTACTATGATATTATAGATTTCTTCTCATACAGGTACGGTTCTATATTTGTGAAAAAATTGTTTGACGATGAAATATCGGCGACGATTGAGCTGCAGTTCGATACGTTCATATATCAAGGAATAATTTATGTGTTTCGTCGTTAATAATAATCGTGATTGGAGTAACAGGATAAATCAATTATTGCAATAATTGAGTATTTGCATACTTTCTTCTACATCGTCTTCCTTTATTTTTCCCCCTTTGACATTTATCATTATGATTATTGTATATTATAGTACGTATACCTACTATCGTTTTCTGCTTTTTTTTTTTTAAATAATACTTCAGTTTTTGTTATGAATCATTAATGAACAACAAAGATTTTCTTTCCACTAGTTTACTTTATTCGCTCGTATTTCGATACGTATAGAACTCGAGTAATGGAAATGGAGCAATATAAATAGAATATTCGTATATTACATTATACTATTTATACATTTTAATGCAAATGGAGAATTTGATAAATACCATTCCGATTACCAAACAATACTAATTACATGAAAACTTGTATCAACGATGTCCCTGTCCAGTCATTGGAAGTACGTAAACTGCTTCTAATTACTCGCCAATGTAACTCCAAACGATTCTGTTTCACAGCCGTCTAATTAACTGGCAATTCCGTTTGATTAGTAAACCAAAATTTCAAACTTTCTTATTTTCGATAAAAATTTCGAAACGCTGAAAAATCGAATCGCTGTTGTTCCACTGAAAAGCTATTTTCTTCTAAATTCTTTCGAAAGTAGACCTAATAGAATTTCCTTTCTCCATGCTCTCCCGATTACTAGGAAAATATGAGAAATCCTATAAAGCGCGTCTCGTAGTACCTACAGGGGAATAAATCCGTGCAAGTTTCGAACCAGCGCGGGAATTTCAAATGAGAACGGCCTGAACTTCGTATTCTCGATGGTTAACCACATTCCAGGACAAACGGAGAGCATATTAATTGGTAATTAACCGAGCGGATCGCTAATTAGAAAGTCCGATAATCGAGGGAAGGAGCAGAGAAACTCTCTGCTTCCGGTCTACGTGCCTCGTGAATGCGAGTCTGCACGCGTTCCGTGTTCTATCGTAATAGGAAGACCTTCAAGAACTTGGAATCTGCTCGATATCGTGCTAAATTTCAATTGGTACGATAATAGAACGAAATTAGATAGTAAAATAATCATTGATATTATATAGGGTGGGTTGAAATTTTTAAAGAACATTTTTCTCGAAATTTTGTTGAAGAAACGTATTTTTGAAAATTGTGCAGCCTCGTGATAAAATGAAACGAGCACAGAATGATATTACCAGGAGGAATTACCGAAATAATTATTTTTCTTGATATTTCTATTGAAAGAAGAAATCTCTCTCTCTCGCCTTGTCTCTAAGAAAAATTATTAAAATAAATTATTTTTTTTGCGCAGGAAATAATCCAAGGGAAAAGATTCTACATTATTTGTTACATTTCCATCCATTCGGCGCGATAGCGATTTATGGAAGCGTTCGAAAACCTCAAGGACACGGAATTCATCCGATACAATTCAAAATTTCAATTGGAGCGGAGGATAAAATAATAATTCTTGTTTTATTGTATGAAATGAAAGTTTTCAATGAAATAAAAGAACAGTCTCACGTAATGAATAAATATTGTATCCAATCGTTTGTATCATTATTAAAATTATTATTTTATCTCGAATAAGAAGTTTTAATCGCGTAAATTGATATTATCAAATGCCATTTTTTTTTTCGTTAATATTTCTATTTAACGCGATAACGATCTACGGAGGCGTTTGTGCGAAGTTCGAGAGAGAACGAGAGTATCGTAATGAATTTTCAAACTTACCTCGATACTGAAATAACCCCTGTCTACATAATCGCCGAGGAAGAGATACTTCGTCGTGGAGGGTGGCCCGCCCACCTCGAACAACTTCATCAGGTCATAGAACTGTCCGTGAATGTCACCGCACACTGAAGCAGAAGGAAAAAGAAATTATTCAGACCGTTTTCTTATTATTAATAAAGACTATCTAGAGATCAACCGAGTTTTTAACATAATTTTCATTTATTATTTAAAATGTTTCTCTTTTATTATCGTGCTGGGTTAAAAGGAAACTGAAGAATACCAATTTAAACAATTATGTAAAACATACATTTTCTTCGGGCTAATTAATTGCCAGTTTATTACGAAATCGTCAACCAATCCAAACTTACATTTTTTAACGAGTTAATCTGGTTTTTCGCCATTCTATTTTCTCTCGATTTTCTTACGCGTCCTTCTATGAAATTAAGCAAAATATAGTAATTCAGGAAATGATCTATATTGAGTAAATTGTCATCGCACTATTTTGATCGATCAAACGTCCCTGTTCGTTATCCCTGAGAGAGCATTCGAAAAATAATGAGATCGTTCGACTTTCTTTTAATTAATTTTATAGGTACAGAAATTCGGTATAAATATTTTAGCGAGCTTTTTACGTATTTATAGCAAGTAACTAGCAAGCTTCGAACGTCAGAGAGCGCGAGGAGAGATTTGAGATTAGGATGCAGAGACAGAACGAATATCAAATATGTATTGAGAATATCTGCATAATTTATTTATACGGAAAATCCTCATACATCCGCATTGCATCTATCTGTACTCCGTTTATAGAAATAACTTAAGTAAGTTTAATTAAATGAACTTCTGTCCATTGATTCTACTTGTCTAAACGTAAACGTCCTTTATCTTCCAAACACAATTAACTCTAACCAAACTTTGATATCGTGTTCGAATTTTATTACCGTGCTTGGCAATATATTTAAAAATCATTTTATCGCGTCCATTTCTACGTTCATTTACGTCCGTAAAACCATTCCTTATTTCCACGTTTCCAAAAATATTGCCACCTTCCGAAATCTCAATAATTCTACCGCTCTCTCATCGCCGCTTTAACCAGAAGACCTCAACCTTTATCTTCGTCGAAACACAATTAATTTCAAGAAACTGCTCTCTGCAGCAGAGGCTAAATTAGAATGATCGTCTGAACAGCTCGGAACCAAAATGGTAGACGAATTACCTGGAAGAACCAACGCGATTCTCTCTCTCTTTCTCTCTGGGGAAATTCAAGGTCGATTCGCGAAATTACCTAGCGCGATTAATCGAGCACGATTAATGCCCGAGCAACGTCAAACACGCGTACACGAATTTACTTCGGAGATTAGGTAAACTTGTTTGCGAATGTTTCCACAGTGAAATTACGATGGTTGAAGAGGAGAGAGAAGAGAGAGAGAGAGAGGTACACAGCGCTAGGGGAAACTTTCCAACCGATGTTACTTGGCAAACTCCATACACACGGAGACGTACGTAACTGGAGGCAAGTTATTTTCCGACGTTTACAACTCGTTCAAAAGGAAACATTTGCCACGTATACGCCACGGATTTGATGGTAAGCTGGCCAACACGGGGCCTGAACAGGAATTTTTACCACGGTTCTTTGATCCCCAATCACGGATGAAGTCTTGGTTTTCTTGGAGGATGAAGCGCGGAGACGTGACTCGGCGAAATATGCTTCTGTAAAGCTGGGATTTCTATCTGTTTCACTTGGAAGAATGTGGAAATCCGTTGCGCAGATCGAGGAATTGAGTTCTAATGCGTATTCTAGGGAAGGTAAGAGTGGAAATATTATGCGGTAGCAGCGAAGGATGATGTTTTCCAAGTGAAATTTTGGAGAAAAGATTGTGATGGTTTCGAAGAAGAAAATTTCCGTCTTTTGGATATTTACAGGTACTCTTGGAGAGTATAATTCTATTCTGATATAATTATAAAATGGAAATATTTATATATTATACGCATGTACATGTTTCTAGCTATCCAATTTGCTGCTATCACATTTGCTGTAAAATACATAATAACGTTGCAATCTTGTATCGGCTGCGAAACGCGTGTCTTATTGTTAGTCGTTCGTGTAAGTGAGCTGACAATCGGCGACATGTGGAATAATAGTTAAAGACTTCTAAAATTTCGTCTATACAAACGACGTTCCAGTGTACCGATCTGTCCAACTCTAAATCTCGAAATCCTTAGCATCATAACAAATCTACCTTACATGTGCCATAAGATAAGACCCAAGATGATTAATTAAACCGTAACTCCCCATTAATCAAGCAAAGTTCGATTTTCCCAACAGATACATTAATAACAAAATTCTTCGATAAAGATTGCGTACCTTCGTATTCAAACCGTTTTCGCGTGATAAGCGCGCAAGGAATTACAATGGAAATCGAAGTAGATTCAGATAGAAGCCTTATCGAGGTGATGGGAGAAAAAAGAGGAGCGAGGTAAATTAACGAGAGTACGTAGGGAGCATCGCGCGATTACCATAATCCCGAGCGGTTTCGCGAGCAATTTCCATCGGTCGTCGGTCGTCCCGGTGGACCGCTTACTATAGCGATAATAAGGCCAAAGGCGCGGCCGCGGCAACTAACGAAGCGTAAATCCATACGATCAAGCTTTGGGAAAACCGCTTTGATCTCTCCTTGCATAAGCTCAGAGCGGACTGCTGTTGCGTTTTCCACTGTATATGGAGATAATCCGCAGAGAATATCGTCGAGGAAAATCGGGAATAAAAAGCTGGCGATCTCTCTCTCTTTCAGTGCTGTTGGCTTTTTGTATGGTATGTACAGTAGTAATTTTGATTCTTGGTTCTCTGGTTTGCGAGTGTGTACGGGGTTAAGAACGAATTATAGATATCTTATTTCTGAAATATGTACAATTTAAAGAGGGTCGTGATTGGGATATTTGATGTGCGAAATTGTACCCTGTAATGTTATGGTTTATGGTATTTTAAATCATAGGAAATTTATACCTTTTTGATATATAAAATTATTCATTCGGATATTTTATTTCTGCAAATTTGTTTCTACCAATATAATAGTACGAAGTTTGCAAAGTTGTTCTCGAAATGAATGCTCTATTTCAACAGAGATTATTACGATATAGATAGTTTTTAAAATATGTGATTTTAGTATTCAATATAATTTTACTATCTTTTATATATTCCACGTTTCGTACGAATAAAATATTTAAAAAGAAAGAGAAAAAAGATGTCTAAGAAATGACGAAGACAACAGAATGAAGCCAAAATATGATTGGGAATCGCGCCTCAGTCGACTAACTTACGTTCTATCCACTAAAAATGAAAATGTTATAACATTACAACAAACGTATAACAAACGTGTGTGTTCAAACATATAATGGATATCGTCCAGCGATAAATCTCGCCTTGTTACCAGAACGTGGCGGAAACGGAAGGGACAGACACGCACTACGGCGTGTGTGTTCAATGTTAAAAGCGTCAAGATTACACGGGTCTCGAGTTCTGTTTCCCTTCCGTGCGATTTATGCGAACTCGACGCGGCCATTCCGTTTCCCAGGATATACCGAGACGATATTGGTTGGCTTAAGCATCGCTGCCCGTATAGTTCTCTACTGCGTAATTCAGCAACAAGTGGCAACTTTCCTTCGGCTTTTATTAGGCCGCCTTCGAAGGGTCTGTGTTCAATGTCTGACCACACACGTGCCTATACTACTCAACCGCTTTACCACACTCGAAATGGGGAAAAGCTGTTGAAGTAATCCGTGAGGGATGGTTTGTGGTATCTTAAGGGCTTTGGAGAGAAACGCAGTTTGCTAAAAATTGGTTGGAAAGAAACGAGATTAACGTTTTACGATACTTGTGTAATTTTTTCTGGTTATTGCATCTTTTTCTTTTAATATATTTATGTCTTATTAATAGTGGGAAGATTTTTAGATTTAAGAACTGGCTTCCTTTTCTCTCCCTTTTTTTTTTATTAGAAGGATGATATTTTCAGATATTCCTCAGGTGAACTTCAAAATTCAAGACCATTATCTTTAAATTTCAATTACGAGAAACTGTTGTCTATCTGGAATCGATTTATCACACAGTTATCGAGAATTTGTTAACAAAACTTAATGCGTTTTAACACGGTGACATACGGAGGATTTGAAAAGAGAGGGTTTTTACCTTTTTTCTGATACAGGAAAGCTACATTCAAGAACCGTACTAAAATTAACACAAAATTACATCGAAATGTCATACAAAGAATTAAATACTAATAAAAAAGGACGCTTACATTGGATATTGCAGTTATCTGTATTAACATTTAACCTTTTGAAATAAACATAAAATAAATAAATCAAAATTATTATTTCCGCGATATCGTATCACCCTTACGTCTATCAACATTTATTAACAAATTTCAGTTTGACTAACATTTCGCCGAGAATTATCTTAAAGGAAATACAGGCGACGATGCGTTACGACAATGGTTTTTAATCAACAACACGCGTATCGTTTAACTCTTATTTGAACAGTAGACATTTTAATTTATGATATTTAAATTTCCACGTTTTGCACGTATATATTTGCAAAATGGTTAAGAACCATCACGTTACGCATTAGACGTCAGACTTAATTTTTAAGTTATGGTAAAAAGGCTGGTCGCAATCTTCTCCTCGATGTAAATTTGAAAACCGAGACAGTTCGTGTGAACAACTGTTATAAAACTTATAACTTCGAGTGTTTTATACTTCAACGAGGAATACTGTTTATCGTCGGAGGAAATAGTGATTTTAATACGACCGAGACACGGGCAGGATTTATGTATACGATGATGCAGTAAACTCGCGCGACACCTTGGCAGAAAAGCGGCGCACATTCACAACTTTCTAAGCAATATGTTACCAGTGGAAAGCGATCCGCCGTTTAAGATGTCGCGAATACTAACAGCTTCCCCGCCTTGCCACAACGTTTATCGACAAGAATTTATCGTTGACATTCATACGTCACTCTTCGTGTTGTTTCTCAAACGACTAAAAAGCTGCGCAATTCACGTCGAAACTTTCCCCGAACGACAATTCGAGAACTTCGCCTGGTTTGATTTTACTACCACCAGTTCCCTAGACGATC